CTTGGGAAGCGCAGCGGCGCTCCCGCCCGAAGGTTCGGATCCCACATACGGACCAGTTCCCGCTCGCTGGCTGAGCGAGGCACGGGAGCAACACCGAGGGTTGCAATCCCGTTGCCGGTCCCCGGTCCGGTACGGGGGCAACACTGAGGGTTGCGATCCGTTTCCGGACACGGAAAAAAGACAAAAGACAAAAAAAAAAATAGTGATGAATACCACCTATCTAGGTTGTTGTGAGAATTAAATCAGATAATGTACCAGTGTTGTAAATTGTGTTCTAAAAACCTCTGTTAGTGAATGAAACCAGATGTTGGAAAGACTTGTATAAGATTTTAGCTTAATCTTCATTCTGAAGGCAGCACAGTGTAAAGGATCACAGACTTTGATGTCAGAGTGATTTGGATTTAAATCCCAGCTCTGTCACTTATGCTATAGGCAAATAGGAAGCAACCAAATTGAAACACACAAACAAAAGCAGTCCAAAGGGTTGGCAAGGGGATGGGGACAATGAAGTGGGTGGCATTTGATTAGAACATGGTGTTGTAACACCAAGGTCATGGGTTCGGATCCCACCAGCTGCCCCCACACACACACACAAAAAGCTTGACCTAAATTCATAGTGTCTTTGATTAAACTTTGGAAAAACAAAAAGAAGTCAAGAAATGACATATAATAAAGTGCTGAAGTTAAAACAAAACACCATTTCCAACTGAGAATACCATACCCAGTGAAAATATCCTTCAAAAATAAGGTAATGAAATTGTTCTAGGTAGAAGCAGACTTGCAGGAAGAAACAAAGAGTACCTGAAAAATAAAATATGTAGGAAATATACAAGAATATTGTAAATTAAAACAATAGTATGTTTTGTAGTTTGTTATGTGTATGTAGAAGTGAAATAGATGACAACAGCATCACAGAAGGTAAATATTCATAGAGTTAAAATGATGTAAGATTCTTGCATTGTTCAGGACGCAGTGAAAGAACTAACTTTACTTATGTCAAGGATGCACAGAACCAATGAGACAAATAGAAAACAGCAAAATGGTAGACTTAAACACATCTATGCCAGTAAAAGCATTAAATATAAATGGACTAAACATTACAATTAAAAGACAAAGTCAAACTAGATAGAAGAACTCAAGGCAAAAGTTTTTCTAGAATGATAGAAGAAATTTCATAATGATAAAAGTGCCCATTCAACAGGAAGATATAACTCTAAATTTGTATATACCTAATAACATAGCTTCAAAGTATATAAAGCAAAAATTAATAGAACCAGAATGAGAGACAAATTCATTTCCATAGTTAGAGATGTTAACATACCTCTCTCAGTAATTGATAGAACAGACACAACAAATCAAAAAGAGTGTTAATGATTTGTATATTATTATTAACCAACTAGATCTAATTGACATGTTTAGAACACTACACCCAACAACTGCACAATACACTTCTTTCCAAGTGCCCATGGGATATAATATAAATCTGGAAAGTAATAATTGTAAGCTTTTTTGATAATTTTTGAGTTATATCTGAGACCAGGAAACACAAAGACATCACTCACATTTCCTCTGTGAGAATACCTTGGTGAGAAGGAAACACTGGAATAATGCCATAATTTTCTAGTTTATTTTTCTTCAACAGAGAAGCAGATTACAGCCAGTGAATGTCTGCTTCTGTCTCTTTTAACATGCATGAGGTTTCTAGATAATAATCTGGGATTGTTTTAATAAACCTGGCTGACCATAAGAATCACCTGGAGAGATTTTTAAAAAGAGATCCCACCTCCTGGAGATTCTATTTTGAAAAGGCAATTGGGCTAATTCCAAGTATTTGGACAGATTTGGGAGTAACCGAAATAATGTTCTATTTGTCATGGAGAGTAGGGAGGGGAGCGGAGGGGAGGGAAGGAAGGAGAATATGAGAATAGTAGAAAGGATCACAGACTTGGATAAGAATATGAATGAATGTGTTTGGGACAGTAACTGGGACAGGGCCAGGTGTGGCTGAACCCCACTGCATGAAGCAAGAAGTATATCTACCTCTAACAGTTTTGTAAACATGAAAATTAGGCACATTTGCATAGAGAAGCAAAGAAAAAACTGCTGCTCTCTTTGCTTTTTATATTTGGTGACTGTATTCAGTGACTTTCTTTACATAAAGGAAGAAGAGGGCTGTTCTTAGCAATAAATGTGACTGCAAACATAACCATACACGTGCTGTACTTGTTTCCAGTTCATCTGCTGACAGGCATAAATACTTTTTTTTTTTTTTTCCGTGACCGGTAAGGGGATCGCAACCCTTGGTGTGGTGTCACCTACACTGCACTCAGCCAGTGAGCGCACCAGCCGTTCCTATATAGGATCCGAACCCGTGGCAGGAGCGGCGTTGCGCTCCCAGCGCCGCACTCTCCCGAGTGCGCCACGGGGTCGGCCCGGCATAAATACTTTTTTTTTTTTTTGTCTTTTTGTCTTTTTTCGTGACCGGCAACGGATCGCAACCCTCAGTGTCGCACCCGGACCGGACCGGGACCGGCTATGGGATCGCAACCCTCGGTGTCGCCCCCGCTCCTCGCTCAGCCAGTGAGCGCACCAGCCGTTCCTATATAGGATCCGAACCCGTGGCAGG